GTTGACTCTAAAATATACTTGACCACGACACAAAAACATAGATTGATCACATGGGTGGCCACAGTGATGAAGTATTCCAGGCTTTCCATCCCATCCATGACAAAAGACTTACTGACCAGTCATCTGCCTCTAATTCAGCTTTGTAATTATTTCCACTTAACTATTAACTATTTTCGCTTAACACATTCTGAACAATTTTTACATCATTTACGGTCGAGACTATGCTTATATGAAATAAGATTAAATGGCAAAAACATACAGAAATTCAGACAAAGCAGGAATTTGTTCTCTGGGATAAGCTACTTGGTTGTTTCCTGAAATTGAACAGTCCATTTTTTAAAATTAGTTTCTATTTTCACAAACTGATTTTATCACTTCAACCCAGCCGGGTGCACCAATGTTTGCCAAGATGAAAGCTTTTTCGCAGTGCTAATGTCCTCAGACCACACATTTGAATTCCTCATGCTGTCATACCTTCATAAGATTTTTAAAATAAGAAAGGTAAAAAATAAGAATGCATAGGCATCTCCCCCAAAGCTTTCTGGACCCCCATGTAAGCAACTTGCCACTATTTGTAGAACACTCCTCAGAGGATGCTGGGAGCCAGCTGTTGATGTGCAGTTTTTCTAGAGACTGAGAGTATGGGCCGCATCATATTAATCTGGGCAATGACTCTTTTGAGCAAGTCCCAGATAAAGTTAGTGATTTACAAAAGCTTTTATCAGTTGCTTGTTGGCTTTTACAGAGTGGAACACTACATGACCCATGTGATTTGTTTTCATTTACAAAGGTGCAGAGGCTTTGAATTTAAAAATGGAACGTTTTCTTCTCATGCCAAATGTAAACAATTTAACATCCATTTCCTATCCAGCTATTTTACCAGTTCAAAAGAGTTTATAGGAATCTTATCTGTATTATATTTCCTGCTGATTGGCAGTGCCTCCTGCTTCAGCTGGGAAGCCAAAAATGTGCTGGCTTGGATTTGAACAGGAAAGGCATAACAAAGAAAACTGGGAAATAAATGTAATGAGTGGTTACGGGGTGCTGAAAACTATACTTATCGTTTCTTATTCTTGTGGAGTTGTTGCTGCCATGTTGATTTATGCCTGAGAAGTCTCTTATGGAAACACACAACAAAAGCTTCAGATTATTTTGTCAACAAGAAAACACAGTTTACCGTATCTTCAAAGTCCCCATCTAGTCCTGATTTGAGCGGTTCTGTATTCCTTGCTGCTGAGATCTCCCTGAGCCCTGGAGGAGGTTTGCATTGGATGCAGTAAATCTCCATAAAAAATAAAGGCCCCCAGAATGTCACAGAACTTGTTTTCAAGGCCAGTGAAATAATATGATAGGGACCATGAGGAGTCCAGAGAACAAAAAGTATTGTGGCTATTCCAGGCCGACTTGGACTCAGTTTACTGGTCCCCTGAGACCCATTTTTTTCCTTCCAGAATGTGAAAGACATTTATTTGGCCTATTGTTTGAAGGTCTTCCATCTCTTTCTCACATTCAAAGCTTGGATGACTGGAAAGGAGAGGAGGAAAAGAACAAAAACAGCTGTCTAGACATTTCCTAGTGGAATATGTTTATAAACCATTTTCCTTGCCTTGTCTTAACAATACATTAGGAACTGGGATAAAATGTTAAATAGTAAACTTGTGTTCTATTGTAAAGAGGTCCAGCAATAGTTATGGTTTTCTTGCAAAAATCAATTATTAATTTTTGCTTTGAGGTCAATTGACCCAACAATTTCTATGAAAGTCCCTTCAGCTGCCATTTCCAGAAATGTTCTCACTTGCCCTCAGCTTCCCCACCCCTACCCTATACCCCACCTGAATTTCCACTTCAATCTCAAGCCTCAGTTTAAGTGGGCTTACCAAGTATGTGGGGAGTACATTATTTTTTCGATATATACCCTGAGGTTCCTGTCAGTCAACCTCATATCTGCCACTATCATCTAATTGTTGGATCCTTGTATTAAACATAAGGCACAGTTTAAGGTAAACTTTAACACTGACTAAAGAGGGATAATATGTGGACATGCTTTCTAAGGTCTCTGGGCAAGATACGGTTGTACTAAAAACAATACTACAGGCATCGCAGCTTCCAGTCCTTGGGTAAGCCATGTAACCTCTCTAAGTCTCCATTTACTCATCAATAAATTAAGGGCATGGAGCCTTATAACCTAAAAAGTCACTTATTCTTAAAAAAAGAAATTTTTTTTAAGTTTTTGGGCAGATCATTTTGTTTCCCAGAGCTGAATACTTCCCTGAAAGTTTACTTCTAGGCATTAGATGCCCTTGCTATGAGGAGCACAAAGTGTTCTACTAGAATACACACATCCTGATCTTAACATAAATACCTTCCATTTGTTGAATGCTGTTGGTTCACCATGTGTTGACCCACTGGCTAACTTTTCACCAGCACACCAGTGCTGTGGGTAACAGCGTCAGCTGCTGTATGTGGCAGTGTAACACTCTGAAGAGCAAATGGGATGGTGCATATGATGGGAAAATATATGGTAAACTAAAAGTCACCATTCAGAAACTGTAATTGACATTACACAGAACTTTCCCACCCTGCTGTTCTTTATTGCATGTCTTTTCTTTCTTCTGTCTTACAAAGAAGTATACTGATTTCCTGTCCCTGTATTTACATTTGCTTTCCATTTGAAAGGTCATCAGTTATATGACAATGATAACAAGATATTTCATTAAAAAATAATCTCCAAATATTGGGCACCTTAATAAGAGATGGAATATTCTTATTAAGTTTATCTGGTGACCTGCCGTTAAAACTGAAGGAAGAGGCATACGATTTGTTAGCCTCACAAAACCCAGCCTCAGATAAAACACCAGAGATAAGACTATTTTTAAGGAAGCTCAAGTTTATTTAAATGATACACCTAATTTGTACATTTTTCTTCTTGCCAATACACTATCCTAGAGTAGTAATATCTGGCTCAAACTAAATGTTCCAAAAAAAAATGTGTTAAAGCATTGACTGGGTGGATGAACAAATGGCCTTCCCATTATATATACTGCACTGAGAGCTGACTAATGGATGGTAGTTATTATGTAGCCTACTTCACCAGGATGGAGAAGTAATATCAACGGGTCTTGAACACTTTCTTTACCTGTTTGTTTTCCTCCCAAAGGGAAAATTATTAGGCTTATTAGGTACCCACATTATTTAGGCTTCTTTGAGATTTGAAACTACACAGAGTTCTATTCTAGAATACCAGCCCTTTAGACAGGTGGTCCTGATGCTTCATTCTCAATCTAATGGAGAGACTGGTAGGGACACCTATTAGGTTAATTTATGCTGGGGCACTAGGAGGACCTGTCCCCTGATATAAATGAAGAGCTAATTACTCAGTTTTCCTCCGTATATGGAAGGGAGTGGGGCCCACATAACCTCCAGGTTCCCTCATGACGTTAACAACTTACAGTTCTATGAAAGCAGCACCTCTGCTCACAGAGTGGTCTCTATTCACATACAATAAATAAAAATGATAGCGTTGATCAATAGTTATCTTTGAGTAGTGGGATTACTGGTGATTTTTAACTTATCTAACCTTTCCTTTATCAGAAATTTTTTACAATGAACATAAATGATTTTATAATTAAATAAAATTCTTTTCACTTTGAGGGAAAACATACATAAATCTAGGAAGAAAAATAAAAGGCAACAACAACAAAATATTAATTTCTGGCTCTTGGCCCAGAGTCATGTTTTTCAGACTTTAACCTTCAGTTGGTGGGTCCCACCCTGGAGATTCTGACTCAGTAACTGGGAATGGGAATGAGAATTTCCACGTTTCACAAGTCTCGGGATGACACTTTGAAGAACTTGACTATAGAAGTGACCCATCATGTGGATATGGTTTTTAGCTTATATTTATGACTGAATCAGTCCTACCTCAAATTATTTTTTGTCTGTAACTATCACAGTTTGAAGAGAAAATTCCTGCATCCATATCCATGTAACTTAAGAGTCTCAACATAATACTTAATGTGTTGTTTTGAATTCCCTCAAATAGAAGCATCTGGGGCTAAAGAATTGTCATAAGGCTCAGTTCTACTAGAAAAGTGTGTTTGCACCCCAGATGAGACTTGAACCCAGAATGTTTAGTTCAGCATCCCAGATTAATCTATTTGGGCCTTTGGACCCCAGGACCCTCCAAAACCATGCACTGAGAAAACACAGACTGCTATCTAAAATCAGGGCAAATCAGTGGGGCCGTGGCTTGGAACTGCGTTTCCTGTCGAAGCTCTGGCAACTAGCACATGCTCTCAGTAACAAAATCATGGGTCATCCCTAGGCAGCAGATCAGCTGGTCAGTGAACTGAACTTTGTTTCATCACCAGGTTTCATTTGAAATGTCAAGGAAGAAAAACTCACAGAAAAAGAGACAGGCAGAGCAAGGAGAAAGAGAGAAATGGTTTCTAAGAGCTCTCAGTATTAACTTACTGAGGGGTGCATCCTATGTAAATTATCTACTTTATAATTTTTTAAAAATGACTGAAAATAAGCACTGGGTTAATTATGATTGTGCTGCTTTGATCACATCACTGAGGTCTAAATGACAGAAAAAAAAAAGGAAAGCGGATCTTCCAATCACAGAGTGCTTTCAGTGTACAAGTCTTCCCTACAGAAGCAGCCATAATGGTAGTATTTATGGTGCTTACTCGGTGCCTTCTGTTAGTTGATTAGTCATCCCACTAATGATTACTTTAAACAGGAAACCCAAAAGCACCAATCTTTGAATGGTTTCAGGGTCAGTGTCACTTTGGCAACAATGTTCTTTGATATTTTGCTCTAGATTTGGAGCTAAAGAATCTTCTCACATATCTCAAATGTATGTGTGCATTCATTACCTCCTGAGCATGCTATGTGTGATATGTAAGGATGTGTTTGCAAGAACATGTGCCTGAAGTAGGGGGAGACAGTGCACTTGATTTATTCAGGGGGTCAATTTTCTTCCTTTTTCCTTTCAGTGGTTCTCTGCCTGCATACTATTTCAGAAGGGGAAAAGGAGGGATGAAGAAAGAGAGAAAAGAAGAGGAATGGAAAATGAACAAGGCTTTGGGAACCCCAGCTTTCCTCTGCCTTATCTGTTCTTTCGTCTCTTTCCCGCAATTCTACAATTCTGAGGCTGACAAACCCTTCCCCCCATACCTCTCACATCCATCTCCCAACCCTGTGCGTGATGAAGTCTCATACCTCTGGCTATACCCCCCAGCATTCTAGCTAGCATCAGAAATTCTAAAAAACTTTCTATTCTCATCATTAAAATTGAACCAAGAGGCTAGTTAAAGAAAACACAAAAGGCTGTAAGGAATTTCCAACACTGTCCAATTCTTTACACCCACATATGATGAGTTCACAGATCCTTTTCTTCCTCCTAAGCTGCTGAGATCTATTTAAATATATGCAGAAGAATGCCAGCAGCCCTCCTTCAAACTGAATTCAAAACTGCCCATTACACGGCACCCCATTATGCATTCCATTCTTTGCAGGGTTTTATTTTGAGGATGTACATTGCTGGGTAAAGAGAGGCCTTTAGGGTACAGTATATTTCAAAACACAATTAAAATAAACTCTTCAAGTGGAAACGTAAAATGCATTTGTATTCTATTAAAGCCTTTGGCTTATCAACTGCAGAGTGCTCCTTTACAAGGTCATTAGTAACCAGCCTCACACAGTGGCCAACAGGCATCAGCTGCACAAAAACAGACAGGGGCCCCGAACACCACAATCACTTCCTGTACCTGTTCTTGTTTGCTTGCTGAGCCCTCGAAATTGGGAGTTGCTGAAATACATAAAAGCGTAACAGCTTGAGTCAATATTTGCCGACCTAAGCGAGTGATTTTGTTTAGCGAGGTGACTGAACCCGTTGAATAAATACATCTCCTTGGAGGTAGTAGGACAACCAAAGGCAGGCACTGGTGGGGAGGGCTAAGGGCAGAACTAGAACTGCCCTTGGTGTGGAACTGGATGGAGGGGGCACTGAATCTTCTGAGGGTCCAGCTCTGGTTCTTTCTCTGCAATTCTCTACATATAGTTGCACTCTCACTTCTAGACTAAAGGTTTGCATTGCCATCACTTGGGAGGCTTGATCAGAAGCTGATGGCTGGGCCCAGAGCTCTGATTCAGTAAATAGGGGGTGGGCCTCAGAATTTGCATTTTGGTAAGTTCCTAGGTGATGCCGATGCTGCTGGTTTGAGGATCACACTTTGCGAGCCACTGGTCTAGACTAGCTCTGTCCAATACAAACATAATGTGAGCCACATGTGATTTGAAATGTTGTAGTAGCCATGAGAAAAGCATAAAGAAACTAAAGAACTTAAGTTTAGCAACCTATCCAATGTAATTTTATAATGAAATCAATATGAAAATTGGGATATTTTAGATTCTATTTTTTTTTTGGTTCTAAGTATTCTAATTCCAATGTATATTTTACTTTAACAGCACATCTCAATTCGGATCAACCACATTTCAAGAGCTCAATAGCCATCTGTGGCTAGTGGCTACTGTATTGCATGGTGTAGTTCAAGATCATTCTCTGAGCATTCCAGGAACCAGAAATTCTCAGCCCTAAAACATGGACCTGCTCCCAGGGCTGGAGTGTCCCACAGTACATACCAGGCTGTGGGAGTGAGTGCGCATCCCCAGGCTCAAGGGTTGCCCTGATGGTGGGTGCCAGTTGAGACGGTGAGGGGCTTTGGAATGAACTTGGACAAAAGGGCTGGAGTGTCCATACACATGAAGATGTGGCCCATTGAGGTGTAAAACAGAGTCTGGGTGGGGAGAAAAGTGGGGCAAGCTGAGCTTTGTGTTTCTGTGTTTGGGGTGGAGGAGGGAGAGATAGATGATAGATAGATAGATAGATAGATAGATAGATAGATAGATAGATAGATAGATGATAGATAGATAGATAGATAGATAGATAGATAGATAGATAGATAGATAGATGATAGATAGATGATAGATACGGAAGGAGAGAGAGAGACGGAGAGAGAAATAAGGAGAGAGAGAGAGAGAGAGACAGATGAGGTGATTCCATTCACTCCATTCCAAGGCTCCTTCAGCTACAGAACAATCCATTCCGCATAACACACCCTTAATGGATTTTGCAGAAAGTCAGCCTTACTGATGCATTTGCCACGTCTCACCTGTTTTCAGGGCACTTAGCTTTTTGGGTTTGGAGCCATTCGAAGTCATTGCTCATAAAAGGAGATACTTCGATATGCTGCAGGGCTCTCCTTCCAGATTTTTTTTCTTTCTTCTACAATTGGCTTGGGGTCTCACTTGAAGGAATGATTATAAAGAGAATGATTACTTTTATGCTGGCTGCAGTGAGAAGAGGATTTGGTGAGGAGGGAGTTATACATGAAAATCAATACCAGCATTGAAAAGCATTCTCTTTTGCCTGTATAAGTGCTACCCACAGGGTCAATAGCTGGAATTAACCTGGATCCTTTCATTATTATTGTTATTTTTAATAAAGCTGCTTTATGATAGACTCTGATGTGAGCTCCCAGGCTGCAGCTGCACCGCTATAAAGGGAGATAAAAAATAGTTTTATTTAAGAGTTATTTTTTGTCCTGGTGGGTACTACTCTTCACCTCCTTCACCCTCTCACTCTCTAGGGGCTCAGAAAGGGGAGAGCAAAACTCAGCTTTTTATAAACATAAGCTGATACCAACATAAAAAATAATGTGCTCATTGCTCTGATTTTATACATTGTATAATTTGTAATGCATGATAATAGAAATTAGTTTTTGTAGGTATGGCTGTACTAAATGCTGATTACATGCCAGACCCTATCTTTGGTACTTTACTTACCTCATTTAATTCTTTAGGCATTCCTGTATGATGAATCAGTGGAGATCCAGTATAGATAAATGTGTCAGGGAAGGTAATGGGTGGTTGAGAGGCTATGCACTACCAGTCTTTTTGACTCCCAGACCTGTGCTGTTTGCTGGATCAGAAAAATTGACTTGATGGATGCTTCTTCTTTGCTAAAACAGTTGTGGAAAGCCCTAGACATCTGCCCATGTACCTTATTTAGGCAAACTTCTGCCATTCCTTCTGTTAAGATCTACAAAGATGGAGCAGTAAAAAATTATTTTCACAATAGCCCTAGATTGTCTTTGAATCCTCTTATTTTCTCACACCTCACAACCAATTCTTCAGGAAATCCTGTTAGCTCTACCTTTAAAATACATCCAGACTCTGACAACTTATGCTACCCCTACTGGTTGTCACTTCCCCTTTTATCCCTGTATAGACTGCACTTCATGTAGAAGCCAGAGTGAAACATTATTAAGTTATGACATAACCAGTTCCATATTCAAAATCTTCCAGTGTTTCCTGTCTCATTCAGAGTAAAAGCCAAATTCTTTGCAATGGCCTGTAAGCCCCTACACATTCTTCCCTGAACACACATACGCATATGCATACACACACATACACAAACACACTCAACACACATACACAACACACATATACACACTACACACATGCACATGTACACACATTTATACACACTCAACACATACATATATTCAACACACATATACCACACACTCTCTACACACATGTGTAGAGAACATGCATACATGTTCATATGTACATACACATACTCAGAAAATATATACACTCAGCACATACACTCAACACATAGACCCACATTCAACACATACTCAACAGACATGCACACACAAGAATATATACTTATGGTTTGCATTTGTGTTCCCGCCCAAATTTCATGTCAAATTGTAATCCCCAGTGTTGGAGCAGGGGCCCGGTGGGTGGTGATTGGATCATGAGGGTGGTTTCTAATGGGTTAGCAGCATCCTCCCCGTGCTGTGTTGTGATAGAGTTCTCCCAAGATCTGCTTGCTTTAAAAGTGTATAGCACTCCTCCCTTTGCTCTCTTCTTCCCACCAGCCATGTAAAACGTGCTTGCTTCCCCTTCACCTACCTCGATTGTCAGTTTCCTGAGTTCTTCCCAGAAGCTTTTACTCCGTAAAGATGCCTGTGCAGCCTGCAGAACTGTGAGCTAACTACACCTCTTTTAAGTGTAAATTACCCAGTGTTGGGTATGTCTTTATAGCAATGTGAGAATGGACCAATACCCACACTCCTATTTCACCTTCTCTAACTTGCCCCCACCCACACCTCTCCAGCCACATTGTCTCATTGCAGCTCTTCATTCTCACTAAACATCCTCCTGCCTCTGAGCCTTCGCACTAGGTATTCCCTCTGCCTATAACACTTTTCCCCCATTTAATAAAATAGTTTATTCTCTCACTTCCATCTGATGTGTATCCAAATGTTTTCTTATGAGAGATAATTCTGCCCTGACTAACATAAAAAAATAGCAACCCCTCATTTATTATCATCCTCACTGTGCCACTTTTCTTTCTGGCACACTTTCTACTACCCAACCTGTTAAATATTTATTTATTTGCTGTTTCACCTGCACCCCACCCTCTTCATCAAAATATAGGCTTCAAAAAGGCTTGTTTGATTTGCTGCCAAAACAGTTCCTGGAACTGGTAGTGTCAGCAATAATATTTGTGGAATAGATGACTGATAACCATTTGAATGCCACCAGATATGAGAAGAGGGGAAATAAAATACATCTTAGGACAATAATTGGGTGCCCAGATGTAGAGAGCTTCCCTACTGGGAGCCAGTCCTGACAGAATTCCTCAAATGCCAACCCTGGAGGAGTTTCAGCACAACTTCTGAGCTAGGGGTCAACACTTATTCAGTCTGATGCCACTTATAAGTGTCTTTGTCCATGACATTTATGGCATTGAATAAAGTGAGAGCACTGCAGTTCACCATGTTGCTTCCTGTGATCCTCTGTGCTGCTCAGAACTCTGAGGATGACAGGCTGGCATCTATGTGAGACCTTGGGTGGTCACTCAGCAGGCTGCCTCTAAAGCCTCCATTCCTTCTTCTTGGCTTCACTGTTGCATATGTCTGAATCTTTTAGGGGAAAAGATAGAAAGAACAATTGGCAACTTGTAGGTGTTACCAAATCTTTGTGCCAGGTGATTCCCTCAAGGTAACTTTCTACACATTAAGCTATGTGGGCTCATGGGTTGAGCATTGAAGCATAAAGCAGACTTGGAGAAAGCTGGTCTGCTGCTCAGGGAATAACCTAACCAGAGCTCAACATATAATTCAGCTCCTTCAGCTCTTCTAGCTGCTATGAATGCAGCAGTCCTAGGGATGATAATTTAGGAGAGCCTCAAACTCTCAGAACAGAACAGCATGCTGACCAATTTAAATTCACACTTGCCAGCTGGCAAACTGGATCAAGTGCTTACCTGCATACACATAATCCGAGGCAATGTGGCAATTCCCATCTGTCTTTTTACTCTTGTCTGGCTTTAAGGATCTTGCCATACATGGCTGGGATGTCTCTATTAGGTCAGTGAACCAGTGATTTTAAATCTCCATGTCATCATGTTTCGTGCAGATACAGGTACAGTCCCACTATAGGTATGTGTGCCTCATGAGCTGGAAACAAGAGCCTGCATCAGGAAAGACTGGGAAGAAGGCTCCAGCCTCCCAGCAATATTTGAGAGTGTCTTCAGCTGCCTTTGCAGGAGAATAGTTCACAAGGGTAATATATTCTAGGAGTCTGCTGGAATGCTCAACTGACAAGAGCCCTATTGAGATGCTGCTCATTCCCCTGGGAGCTTTTCTGTTTACACGTACCTTTGCTCATCTTTCAGCTAAATTGGAAAGCTGAATGGAAACTTCAGTGTTTGAGAACACAGAATGGATTTTGATGCTTAAAAGGACTTTTATGCAGAAAAACCTAGAGTTAACACATCTCACATGTACGCTAGTTTTAAAATCCCAGAATTTGGGAGTTGGTTAGAACTCTAGGAATTCTTTTCTCTGCAGTCCAGTATGGTAAGTGCTAGCCATGTGGGTCTATTTATGTTAAAATTTAAAATAATTTAAATCAAGCAATATAAAAAATTCCGTTTTCTTGTCATACTAGCTAGTCCCAAGCCACATATGGCTCATGGCTGTTGTATTGGGCAGCACAAATCAGAACACTTCCAACATCTCTGAAAGCTCCATTGAACAGCACTGGCTAACTGGAGAGACTGCTCCCCTCATTCTGTAGAAAAGAAAACAGAGGCTCATAAAAGTCAAGGTCAGGTGTCTTGCCCTGTTGTCTTAGAGATAGTATCTTGGCTACAATTAGAAAAGATCCAGGTTGTCTTTCTTTGTCCTTTCATACTACCAGTCTGTCTCTCATCTCTGATGATAGTGTCAAATGTCATTCTAACACAGCACAGATACAAATGAAGGTGACACATT